AGGGGGGTGGGGGTGTCATCCATTTCTACCCCCCCCCCCCGATAAACCTGCGACCAGCTGCATTAACATTACCAGCCCCTGGGCTCGGAGCCATTTCTCCCCCCAAGGGGGGTGGGGGCTGACTCTGTGGAGCAGGGGCAAGATAAAGGCTCCTTTATAAATCCTGGCGTCTGCTCTGCTAAACTCCAGATGGCCGGCAGGACCAGAGGAATACGGCCCTCCGTTTTTGTTAGTGTAGGACCTACAATAAGTGGGCTGGGGGCCAGGCTCCATGGACACAGTGCGATGTGGGATGGGATATGAGCCTTTCCCCTCGATGGGGCACCTGCCCCGGGCGGACGACGGGCGCTCGCTGTCTTTGCTTTTCGGGTTGATTACTGCAATACAAGGTTCATGACACGTGTGCCGTTGTGCCCCCTTTAATCGCTGCTCGCCTCAGCCATGGGCCAGGGAGCGCCACCCGCAGACCCCTCGCCCCCAGCAAGGTGCCGTCTCGTCCCGTTTGCCTACTGCCAGAGCAGCACGAGGTCCTACGGGCGTCACTTTAACAGAGCCCCCAGCAGCTCCCCGAACCCGCAGCCACAAACCCACCGGTGCCGATTGACTAGGAAACGCTTTTAAGCGCTTACGGGGCGTGGGCGCAGCTCGGCGTTGGTGACAAAGGGAAAATCACAAGCCTGTTCCTAATCTTCACCAGGGCAGTAACTCTCCCAGCGAACGCGTTCCCACCCCCACCCCTTCGTCGTACTTCTGGCTAATGAGAACGCTGTCTCGTTAGGCCCAGCCCCTCCCATAGGCTCCAGGGGGATTGCTTTGTCTTCCCCATGCTCTTCTTCCATTGTGTAAGGGGGGGCGAGGCAGGTGATGTCACTGGTTTTAGGGCATAGGGGGTATTTAGCAGCTCTGAGTCCTCCAGGGCTGATATCTGGGCCTTCTGTTCATGGTCCTGTAGTTATGTCTAAGGGGTTAGTCTGCGGAGGTTTTGCAGACTCACAATATGTTTCAGTAACAGTCATAGAGCGAAATCTCCTAACTCCCTCTCTGACGTCGATACACACATTGTAACAGGACAATGATGTTCAGCAGCTGATGGCTTTTCAAATGATACCACACACGGCATACTTTGTACAAAATATCATAACCATACACAAGCGGTGAACGAGGGGGGGGAATTTACAGTGTATTACAATGCGACTGAGGGTGGGGTGAGTCTGTGCCACTAGGCAAAGGGAGGAGCAGTAGAGGGTAAAAGCCAGGCTTTTTCCCTTCCAGGCAGTTGGGTGTGAAAGCAGGGGGTCTGGATTCAATTCCCAACATGCCCCAGCTGTTTCAAACTGAGCTGCAGCTCCGTGCAGCGTGAGCCCTTCCAGTGCAGTGTTATGTACAGCTGTTGCCCCACCCCAGAGGTGGCTGCATCTCAGTGCCAGGTGAGAGCGGGAGGGGTGGTGGATCTCACAGCCGGAGTTTAATGTTCCCATAGCTAGAAGTCCATGAACAGCGCCTCGGGCGTGGGGGGCGGCCCCAGGGGCCTCAGAAGTCGTCGTCGTCGCAGATGTCCAGGTAGACATCAAAGGCCTCGCGGTTGCAGTTGCCGTCGGGCGTGAAGACGTATTTGTGGAAGGTGCCGTCCACGCAGATTGCTGCAGGGGGGGGACGGACATGGGTGTGAGATTGGGGGGGGGGGAAGACCCCTACCCTACCACCCCCACCCCTGGCCCCACTGACCAATGACGGAGTTGACGGTCTTGGCGGAGCTGCGGCCGAAGGCACAGACGCAGGCCGACTCCGCTGGCACCGTGAAGCTGGCCAGACTCCACTGCGAGTCCACGTACTGGCCGATCACCGGGCCCACCTTGCCCACGCGCGCCAGCCTGGGGAGAGACGCATCAGGGAGCAGCGGGGGGTAACTGAGCGGTTGGAGGGGAACCTGGGGGGGTACCTATGCAGAGCAGTGGTTGGGGGTGGCAGGGCGGCCCTGCGGGGGGTACCTACGAGGAGCGGTGGTTGAGGTGCAGCGGGGGGGTCGCGGGAGGGTAC